AAGTAATAGCAGATTAAAAAAAAAAACCTTATACAGTTTGTTGTTATTAAAAACAAAGATCATAACATTCATCGAACGATTCGTAGGTTGATGCAACTGTAAAACTTGGGTTTGCGAAGAGATTTCGCCATTTTATATCATTAACTTTACCAATCTACTTTTTGTATGAATGATTCATTGTAATATAAATTGAACTGCACTCCCACACACAAACACACACGCGCGCGCGCGCACACACACACACACACACACACACACACACATATATATATATATATATATATATATATATATATATATACTAGCATGCAAACGCCTTGGGCCACCTAGAAAAAATTAATAACTTTTGTTAATTTTATCCCCAGTTCGAGAGTGATTAGCAGTATGATTTTCTCAGTACATTTCAGGATCTTTGAGGCCAGGAAAGTTACTGCATTTTTGTGATATGCTCTATGAAAGATGTTACAGCATATCAAGCATAGTAATGCTGAAATAAAAAGCCATGCAAGGATACTGAGCCATCAGCGAAATATTCACCTCTCATATTTTTGTAGAGGGAAAAATGAATTCTTGCTTTTATCAAAAAGTGTTCTTTATTATTACAAAAATGATGAAATCAAAGTTTGGATTAAGCAATTAGTGTTGTTGACTTTAGTTCGAATAACTGCCTCACTTTGATATGAGATTGAATGGAACAAGATTCAGGTTTTCTCATTGGCTAATTTTTCCTATTCTTCTCTGGTGGTAATCCTAAAACTCTAGGAAATTGCGTGGTTTTCATTGGAACACTAGTTTCTTCAGTTCCCACCACAATGGTTCAGTTATATTGAGATCAGCACTGCTGGTCAGTCTTCCAAAAGTTGAATTACTTTTTTTTTCAAAAGAAATCTTTTTGTTGTACGTGATGTGTGACAAGTAGCAGCGTCCTGGCAGATCAGACCGTATTATACTAATATAGTTTTCGCTGTTAAATTTCCATCAACTTTTACCAATTTCCTTCTACCATTGCTTTTGCTGCAGCCCGACAACATTACGTGTCCATCACCAAATGTTAGCGTCTTTGTGGTGCATCTTTATTGCTTCTTTTTCTCATTTCTATTTTTACATATTCTCTTGCATTAGAAGGCAACTCTATTTCACATTCATCACGAAATATTAATTTTTATTACTTTCTAGCATACCATATTAGATGTTTTTTAACCATTTTAAATTTTACTTTTCAA